GAACGTCATCCGCTCCCAATTGCGCCAGCTATGGGTAGCGCAGCTTTGAGCAGTTCGTGGCAGGGAATGGATGACAACAGTCTGAAACCAGCAAAGGGGCATCCCAGCCTAGCCGGACATACGTGGTCAATCTTCGAGATTGGCTCTTGGCATGGGCAACTCAAAGCTTCTCTCTCCCGAATGGCCCAGATCTGGGGTAGCCAACCCTAAGGTATGAAGCAGCTTTGGAAGACACCCTAGCAACCACGCACACAAGCCTTGCACATTTTGACCACGACAAGTCGGCATCCGATCAGAGCTTCGCCCGCTCCCGTGCGCCGTTCTGCGCCAGCGGCTCCAGCTTGACCACGTGCCCCGGGCGCATTCCGCAGCTGCCGTTCTGGGTGAAGTACATGGACCCTGGCGCCGGTTGATCCAACATCCGTCCCTAGAAGACGAATCGGAGGTTTTGTGGATCCTCCTGGTGGGTTCCGCAGAAGAGGAGCCCAGAGAAGGATTCTTGTTGGGGATCCTTCGAAAACAAACATGAATCCGACAGGAACTTTCATACGTCTGAGGCTGTGTAAACTCGCTGCCTGGTGACCGGGTTCCAGAGAAATACTGCAGCCGGGAATATGAGTCCATTCCTCACTGTTTTGTGAAAAATCGCTCGAAGGGTTTGCCCCGTTTTCCAAGCGGCACTTCCCGCACGAAGGCCGGGAAGGGATACCATACAAGACCGGCACAGCTGGCTTAAACCAGGCGCCCCCCGGACAACTGCACAGGTAGGCCGGGGTGAGGCGTCTACTCAACCCAAAAAAAAAAAGCACAGGGAAACATCAGCCTCTCCTTCAAACCTCCAACCACCAATCCAAACCACCAATTAACACCACCCCTAGTTGGTCCTTTGGTTTGCTGGTTTGGACCTTACTGGGCTTGGGGCTTCGGACTGAGGTTTGCTTACCCCACCAACCTAAACCACCAATTCAGGGGTACCTGAAACTACTGCCTGGTGGGATAGGTAGGGAATGACCATTCCGAGTGCTGGGGATGAACCGTTTCTGGAAAACTCCTGAAAAACGGAACCCAAATCCGGGATGGTTCCTCTTGGGGTCAGCCCATGTCTCATCCCCTGCCTATCGCACAAGGGGTTACCCGATAGAAGGGCTTCCCACTGATTGGTGGTTGGGGTGCCTCGGGCCATGGGTTCAATTCCCCAAACCAATCCAAACCACCAACTAAGAGGAACTCAAAAAAAGAAAAAAACAAGCCCCAAATCACCCTCCCATACCCCCTCCCCCCCCAACAGAAAAAAGAAGACGAAGCCAACCTAGGTCCTCCAGTAGAGAGCTTAGAATAAGGGTACACTTTTTTTTCTGTCGTCTATTTTGGGGAACCCTCCCACCCAAAAAAGGGGAAAAACGGGCACCTAGCTGGGGGACCTACAACCCAACCTTCCTCGGGGACTCGCCTTCCAGGTCGTTGCTGCTGAGCCTGTCCTGGGCCTCCAGCAGCAAGAGCTTGTGCCCGCTCTGGGCGAAGCACAGCCCCATGTTCCTGGGAGCCAAATTTGGGGCTCGGTGGCTCAAAACCACCGGATTGAGGCCCTCGGATTTTGTTCATCGAAAACTCTAAACCGCAGACCCAATTGAATTGTGGAAGGTGAATCAACAAATAAATAGATAGACATATGTGTTCTTCCATCTGCTTAAGCCCCCTGGGAAAAAAAAAAAAAAACAAAAACAACATATGTCCAGCAGTGATAAGTTCCCTTGAAAGCCAATAGGAAAGTATAACAAAACAAATAAAACACAAATGGAAGTGTTTAGGGCAAAAAAGGAACAAGTTATCGGAACAAGAAATTCAAGAAGACAAAAACAAGGCGAACAGTTGTGGTCAAAACGGCATGCCAAGTCCGGCCGCGGTTCTTGGGATGCTGGTCGAACCTCGGAGCAGCGTCCAAATCTCCAGTTTGTTTTTTGATTTTTGTTTTTTTTGCGGGGGGGGGGAGTTCATTACAGAAACGGGAGGGTGTAAGCCAACTGATTAAAGGGCACCAAACCCCATGCAGGTCGCTTTTGAACTACTTCCGATGGTTTCATGTACTTTCAGGGGGGAGGGGGCTTCAAGAAATCCTGGCCCAAATCTCTGAAGCAGCCCTTAGGCATCCGCTTGAAAGCCTCGCTCTCCAAGAGCTAACGTCCTGACCACACTGAGAGACATTGTCTGATTTGAAAGTTTAACCCACAAGGCCCAAACAGTGCCTGTCACCGTGTGGGCAAGCAATGTAAGGGCAGAATAATTACACACACACATGATCCACTTCTGATGACCTAGTTTGTTCGTTAAGTCCCCAAACAGAAAAGTCTAGCCATGGCCTCAAAGTAAGGAACTCTTCAAACTTGCAGATGTCCTGTTGAGTTCCCTTTAAACCTATCCCAAAAAGAGTAAACCCACACACACACACACACACGTAATGACTATCTGAAGGGCCGGTTCTCGATTTGCTTGTTTGCCTCAGAAAGTGGACAAGCAGCTTGTCTTACCTGTCTGTTGAATTGTCTGTTGTTTTCTCTGCCTCAGAAAATGAACACATTTCCCCACCTTGCTCTTTGAATTTCAAAAGGCTCACCTCGCCACGGGGCATCTCAGGGTAGGAGCCCTCCACCCCGTCCAGCGTGAGGATGGGGATGAAGAGACGGTCCAACTCTGAGACCTGCAAGCGCCAGCACAGGCGCTCGCAGCCTGGCAAAGGAAGGGTGGGGAGCAGGGCATTTTGGTGGTACATCAGGGGCAACCCCCACCCCTTCACCCCCCACCCCCCCCCCCCCCCCGGCCTCCCAATACCCAGCTTTTCTAAGGGTACTCTTGGAAAAACCCTGTCTAAGGTGAATACCTCCTTTTTGTTGGCCAAGGGCTTAACATACGGGTATTGTGTAAGGGCCGACAAAACGGTGGCGCTCCTGCTGATTTCCCTTCGATTCCCCCGGAACAGTGTGTGGTTTAGTTTGGGAAAATAAGGGGTCTGGAAACACCTTCTTCTCAGAGCGCCTAGGAAAATCAAACGATTACCCCATACCCTTTGAGCTGTCTCCTGTCTTTTTGCTTGAAAGATGTGGCCTGAAAAGCGCGGTTCGAAGACCCCAGAAAATCCAGCAAGAAAAAAGCGGCCAACCACCGACCAGCTGAGCCGGAAGTTTGACCAATCGGACCCCTCGGCCCAGCCGGGAATGCACGCTGCTCTGCTAGCCCTGCAAAGAACCGAAGGGCGCTGCGAAACGGGGCCCCTTTGTGTTTGGAGGGGGGGGGGGAGTTTGGTGCCATTTGATTGGCTGGCTCTCTGCAACATGGCGCCGTTCGATTTTTTTGTTGGGGCTTTGGTGCCATTGGATGCCTTGCTTCAAACAAGCTCCTTTTTCTTGGGGAGCGGGGGGCGGGGGCGGGGGTTGGGTGCCGTTTGATGCGTCGGTTTCCCTCCCTAGGACCACATCCTCAATTGTTCAGTGACCCTGGAGAAAAAGGGAAGCCTTTTTGGGGCTTGGACCATTTTTAGTGGTGCAGCCACGAAAAGCCAAAAAAAAGCGGGAGAAGAATCGGTGCCACTGAACCTTGGTTACTTTCTGCTTAGTGGTTTAATACGGAAAACCCATTAGTTGGCAAAAAGTTATTCAGTCCTAACATCCCTTGGCAAAATGCACCAAAGGAACAACTGAGCATCCCAGGCCGAGCGATCGGGGGCCTTTCCAGGACCTCCTCCCGGACCGCTCTTCGGTGAGCAGGTAGATGGTGTGGAAGCTCTGGACTTCCTCACGCCGCTCTGAGTGCGCCATGTGGGGTGTGTGTCTAATTTTTTGAGGGCAGCTAGCCCCTTTATTGGGTGGTTTTGAAGGAAAACCAAAAGGAGGCTAAAGCCACATTTGTTTGTTTGGTTGCTTGTTTGCTTGCGTGCTTGCTTACTTGTTTGTTTGCTTGCTTGTTTGCTTGTTTGTTTGGGGGGGGGGGGCCTTAAAAAAAGACACACCCATGTCAAGAGGAAAGTGCAGCCAGGCTACGCTGTAGCGGTGCTTGCGCAGGAACTCTTCCTTAGTGCCCAACGCTCGCCACGTGCCTTTCATGACACATGCCGCATCGCACAGCAGCGAAGTGCACATGTACACGGCAGCATTGCATCTGCCAAGTGCACCCAAACCACATGCAAACTGCGCTTGTGCTGCACCATTGCTGTATTTCACATGTGCCGCTCATTCAGCAGGTTTAAATGGTGTGCAGCTGTTCACTCAAACCAACAAGTGTCGGCTGCATTGCATGCTGTACAACAACGCCGTTTTTTTTTTTTTTTTCCGGATCACAAGTGTGTCCTTGAGTTTGGATGCGCAAAGCATCATTGTGATCAAGGTATCACCTTGCAACTGTGCAGAAGTAGTTGCCTTTTCATGAAGTCAAGTGTTGTTCACAAGATCCCAAGCAAGCGCAAAGACATGTGGTTCGTGCGTGGCTTTCGCAACATGGTAGTGAGGCTTCTGATGTTCCGTATTCTTGCTGAAGGATATGACTCATTACAGCAGTGCGTCAGTTTACGAATTGCCTTTGCTCAAAGTGCTGACCCCGGAGTCACCCTGGACGAACAGCAGGTGTTCCTCAAAGTGAAGGACTTCCTCAAACAGACGCCCTCTGAAATGGCACACCCCTTATAAGTTGCTTGATCCTGGTTTCCCAGTTGGCTGTGGCAAAAAAAAAAGCCGGTGCCGAAATGGCTTGCCCCGGTAAGTGGGTTCCAGGGACCCAAACCTGCGTCACCTGCCCCGAGATATTTTTTGCGCCACACCCATCTGAATCGCCTCGAATCCTCGGAGCGAAATCAATTTCTTCGAGGCTCGATGGAGGGCCGGCATGCCACCACCCCTTTGGATCTGTCCAGCAACGACCTCTCCAGCTCTGCGGCAGAGGTCAGGTCCTCAAAAGACACAAGGACGCGAAAGAAGGGGCCAAGAAAAAACAGAGAAACAACAAAGACCTGTCTTTGGGTCTCGAATCTCCGAGAAATTTGCCAGCATCTGCACTCTGTCCCTTTGGCAGCTTGATCATTCAACTGAGCAGTGCTCTAAATTGCCGTCTTTGTCTCAGGTTCCGCAAAACCTTCCAAGCCGCTTCCGCGCACCTCGGAAGCAAGGTACCTTCTGCTTCAAAATGCTTCTGCGGGCTTTCGCGTTGCCGAGCTTTGGCTTGCCTTTGCTTCCGCGCAGACATGCTTGGCTTCTGCTGCGGGCCTGCGAGAGCTGCAAGAGTCTCGTGCATGCTTCAAACGCCGACTTCCGCGGACCTTCCACGAAGCTTCCCCTTAGTTTGGATGACTCCGAGGCTGCCTTCGCCCGCACTGTTGCAATTGTTTCTGCTCAATTCGTACCCTCGGCCTCTGAGCCGGGCGTTGGCTCACGCTGATTCTAAATCCGCGGGCTTCCGCGTGTGGCCTCTAGGACAGCTCCTTGGCCAAACAATGGCATCCCGAACTTCGCTTCCAGGGGGGCAAGGAAAGCCGCAAAGAGTGTTTCATTGGTTTGCTTGCCCTCAAGAAGAAAAGAAAAGAGTATTTGTATGGTATCTACCTGAATTTCCTTCATTCAGCGAAAAGAAAACACATTTCGACAAGCCATGCCGCAGGCCATCAGCAGGGGTAATTGCTTTGTCCTAGCATGTTTTCAAGGTCCCCTTTTTCATGGTTGCTTAAAAAGGAAGCCAAGAGGGGCTTCCATCAATTTTTGGCGACTCCACCTGTCCCCAGCTCCGAAACCCCCACTAAACCCCAAGCTAAAACCCTCATGGGACAAGCCGAAACCCCAATAGACCCCATTAAAAAAGTCGTAGTTCTGCAACAAAACGTTTCTGGGAACCTAAGGGTATGAAAAAAAAACTGCAATTTAAACCCACAAAAAACAAAAGACATAAGAACCCATCAGATGCAAACCATCCCTCCATCGCGCCACGGAAAAACCTTTCGCCAAAAAAACGCCCCTCCTCCAGGCACACCCGCTTCTCCGTGCGCAGCACCGCGCAGGCCGCGGCCCGGAAGGCCGAGGAGCGGATGCCGTCCGCGTCCAAGTCGAAGCGCCGCCCCAGCTCCTCGCGGATCGCGGCGGCGGAGCTGGACACGAGGACCCTCGGATTTTGGAGTCCCCAACGGAAGTACCCTACAAATATGGTTTTTCATGAGTCATACTCAAAACCTAAGACAAAATGGTGAACCCAGAACAATGCGTCAAGAACTAAGAAGGCGGATGTCCGCAACTATTTCTGGCTGGGACTGCCTCTTTCTAACCTTCATCTACCCGGGTTTTGATTGTGGCTCACATGACACCCACCACCTCCAACCACCTCCACCACCACCACAAACGCTATGGTTGTTCACGGGCGAAAAGGGTGGTGCAGGATTTCGTCCACCCACAGCATTAGTCAACCAACCAGTTTCTTTTCTATAGGGGGAGTGTCCATTTCTGGGTGAAATGGGGGAGGTGCCAGACCCACCCCCCTATTCATCAACTGGGGTTGATAAGTCAACATTGCCCACATAGCGCTTGACACATTGGGAGCTGAGCCACGAATACAACCAATCAATTTGAGCTATTGAAGCCGGACCGAAATCCTCTCCTTGAAGTCCACATCTGGCGCCAGCGGCACGCGCGTGGGCAGCGCAGAGCGCCAGAGCGCCTGCGGAGGCCCGTTTACTAGGTCCTCCAGTAGAGAGGTTAGAATAAGGGTACCCTTTTTTCTGTAGTCTATTTTAGTAGGGGAACCCTCCCCCAAAAAAGGGTGAGAAAGGGCACTACTGGGGGACCTAGTTTATGAAGGGGCGACCTACGTCCAAAGCTTGGAGAAAAAGTAAGAGGCAAGGTTAAACCCGGAGATTTGAGGACCTAAGCAGCCCCAACCTCCCAGCCAAGCCACTTGAGGTTTTAAATGAAACCTGGGACAAGATTAATTGCCGCTAAGGGAAAGCTGGAGAAATATTCTGTTCTCGGAAAGTGGCTGCAAGCAATTCTTTCCCCTCATTTTCCCTTGGGGGGTGGTTTGGGGCGGGTGGGTAGTGGCAACCCTCTTGGAAACAAACACAAATTTAACAAGCTGCGTCCATTGCAGATGCGCATTGATCCCACCCCAAGCTCCCGATACTTCAAAACCAAGCATGACTCCAGCGAATGGCTGCCCAACCATGCAGCCAAGAGGCTCCTGGCTTCGGCTTTCAATGGAAGACCCAACCCCTCCATTAGCCACCACACATGTGGTTGGGGGGTCTCAAAACCAGATTGTTTGAAGGCCCTCAACCAGTCAGAAGCCTCTGGGGGAAATATAGGCCCTGTCATTCTTGAGGTATCTTGGTGGAGCCAAGGTCGGCCAAGCTTCCTGGCCGACACCAAAACAAAACACGCGCCCGGGAAAGGGCTTCTTTTGAAGATGCAACCTCCCTTTTTCAGGGCTCCCAGTGGGTGTCTCTGCCTTGCTTTGCCAACAAAAAAAGGCAACCACAGTCCCCGGTCTCCTAAAATTGAGGGACGCCCCACAAAAAAAATGGTGGGCTCGCTTTGGGCTTCCCGCGTCGCAAAAGAAAAAAACCACTAGTGACTTGGTGAAAGGAACCGATTGGATGTCAAACGACTTTCTACATGTCGGTGTCTTTCTTCCGAGGCTTAGTGCCCTCAAACGGTGGGTTTACAGGCAAACCAACCGGAAACCATGTGGACCTCGGTTTGTCATCTCCGTCTTGCGGAAAAACCCGTTTTGAGGCTTGGTCATCAGCCCTCCTCTGCCTCCCGCTGATCTGCAGAAGGGTGGTCAAAGAGGACAATGAACTTGGTAAGACGCGCGAACTCCTGAGAGCGTCAAACAAAACCCCGAAGACTAGCAGTAAATCATCAGAATGTCCTTTGTTTGCTTCCGCGATGTTTACCCTCTTAACATAGAAGTTGACAAAACGTACCCTAAAAAGAACATCATCTGCAAGTTACCCCCTTTCCTGCGTGCTCATTTTGACCCTGCTTCAGAGGGAAACCAAGGGCAACGCACGATTTGTTGGGTCGATCAATTCATAATTGTACACTATTCGGGTTCCTAGTTAGTTTTGGGGTTCCGGATGTACGGGGTTCAAAGTTTTGGTTTATGGGGTTTTGCAGAAACCTCCACGAGTTCCATGAGTTCCATATTTTGGGGTTCCAGGATGCAATTTGCAGACACTCAGATGCCCAGTAACCATGGGCAAAATAGGGCATCCTTTCTTCGGTTGGTTGACTTTAAAGGGGAACCCATCCCGAAACAAGTTGAAACAAAGTGCGGAATCCACTGGGCAACAGCCCTTTTCCCCTCCCCACCTACCCCACCCCCACCCGCAGCCCCCTGCCCCCCCCGAGCTCACGGCTGAACGCTGAACCCTCTAGGCTTCAACGCGCGTCCTGCGGCAGCAGCTGCATGCGGAAGAGATCCTCACAGGTCACCAGCAGCAGCACCACGCCGGAGAAGCGCTCGATGTGGAAGGACAACCTGGGCAAAGCCAGACATGTGTGTATATCAAACACACAAACAATTATGTATATATCAATATATGTATGCGTGTGTGTGTTCATTTATTTATTTATGCATTTGCATATATATATATATAAATATTATATTTATATATATATGCATCTTAATATGTTGGTATATGTGCATATCGGCACATACTGAGAGACGCACTTGCATGTTGGATGAAAAAGGGACTAAACATTTGTGCCAAACGGTATGCCACAATGTGTATCGGTGTGCCTGCTTCAAAACAAATTAAAGGACCGGATAACTCCACATGCGCATTTTTTCAGTGAATGGTTCTCTGGTGGCCATGCGATAATGACTGAGTGAGTGAGTGAGTGGCCACGGGGTAGCGCTCGGTCACTAGTAGAGTGCTCTCTTCTTTTCGCTCGCGAGGCAGAGTCAGGCGCTAGATTATTCACGGCTTCCTCTTCTTCAGACAGCTGGAAGTCTAATAAGCCTGAGCTCGAGCTCTACTAAGCCTGAGCTGAAAGTCTATAAGCCTGAGTGAGAGTGAGTGAATGTGAATGAGTGCAAGTGAGTCTGGACGAAAATTGCTGCGCCTGTCACGCAGATTGAGCCCCCGAGCCGCGCGCTCGACAACATTCAGCCTCTCTAAACAGCAGCCATATGTTGCCCCTGCCACGCAAACACACACCCAGATGCAGAAAAAACTGCGCCGGCCACGAAAACTATGCCCCGTCTCCAAAGTGCTGCGCCTGTCACGCAGATTGAGCCCCCGAGCCGCGCGCTCGACAACATCCAGCCCCTCTAGACAGCTGCCACATGTTGCCCCTGCCACGCAAACACACACCCAGATGCAGAAAATACTGCGCCTGCCACGAAATTTGCAAGCCATCTCCAAAGTGCTGCGCCTGTCAGCGCAGATTGAGCCCCCGAGCCGCGCGCTTGACAACATCCAGTCCTTAGACAGCCTACCAAATGCTGCCCCTGCCACGCAAACACACCTCCAGATGCAGAAAATACTGCGCCTGCCACGAAATTTGCAAGCCATCTCCAAAGTGCTGCGCCTGTCACGCAGATTGAGCCCCCGAGCCGCGCGCTCGACAACATCCAGTCCCTTAGACAGCTACCAAATGCTGCCCCTGCCACGCAAACACACACCCAGATGCAGAAAATACTGCTGCGCCGGCCACGAAAACTATGCCCCGTCTCCAAAGTGCTGCGCCTGTCACTGCAGATTGAGCCCCCGAGCCGCGCGCTCGACAACATCCAGCCCCTCTAGAGCTGCCACATGTTGCCCCTGCCACGCAAACACACACCCAGATGCAGAAAATACTGCGCCTGCCACGAAATTTGCAAGCCATCTCCAAAGTGCTGCGCCTGTCACGCAAATTTAGCCCCCGAGCCGCGCGCTCGACAACATCCAGTCCTTAGACACGCCTGCCACGAAATTTGCAAGCCATCTCCAAAGTGCTGCGCCTGTCACGCAGATTGAGCCCCCAAGCCGCGCGCTCGACAACATCCAGTCCCTATAGACACCTACCAAATGCTGCCCCTGCCACGCAAACACACACCCAGATGCAGAATATACTGCGCTTGCCACGAAATCTGCGCGCCATCTCCAAAGTGCTGCGCCTGTCACGCAGATTGAGCCCCCGAGCCGCGCGCTCGAAGACATCCAGTCCCTTTAGACAGCAACCAAATGCTGCCTCTGCCACGCAAACACACACCCAGATGCAGAAAATACTGCGCCTGCCACGAAACTTGCAAGCCATCTCCAAAGTGCTGCGCCTGTCACGCAGATTGAGCCCCCGAGCCGCGCGCTCGACAACATCCAGTCCCTTTAGACAGCAACCAAATGCTGCCCCTGCCACGCAAATCTCCCAAATGCTGCCCCTGTGAGTGAGTGAGTGAGTGAGTGAGTGTGAGTGAGTGTGAGTGAGTGAGTGTGTGTGAGTGAGTGTGTGTGAGTGAGTGGGTGTGTGTGACTGAGTGTGTGTGAGTCAGTGTGTGTGAGTGAGTGTGTGTGAGTGAGTGTGTGTGAGTGAGTGTGAGACAGTGAGTGTGAGTGAGCGGGCGGCGGGGGCGGGCGGCGGACGGCGGGGCCGGACGGCGGACGGCGGGCGGCGGGCGCGGAGCGGTAAAAGTAAGAACCCCACACAAAGATGTGGGGAAAAATTGCTTAATTCCTGAGTTTGGACAAACACTAAGCAAACTTTCCTACATTACATTTGCAAACAGAAATTCAACATATCTATATCTATATACATAGGTAGATGCACGTGCGTGTGCGAGAGTGCGATGGTAGTGCAATCTGCCATGTCAGTCAAAACCAATGGTACCATTTTGGGGTAAGTGCACTGCCCATTTTAGTCTATAGTAGTGGGGATTGGAATGTTCACTGGGGGTAAGGGATTTTCACCAATGGCCATTTAAGCCACAGCTTGTACGGGGAACCAAAACGATCGCCATGCACAGAACCTCCTCGACACTAAAAACTGGGCAACGCCAAAGGATGGTTTTCAGAGCTAGGGCTTGGTTGCTGGAACGACCCCCCTCTAAAAAGTGTTTAACTGTTTGGGGGTTTAGTGGAAAACCCAACTTGATTTCAACCAAAAAGTTAAAGTCTAAAAATCCAACCCAATAGCAGTAAGTGGGGTAATTTTGGGGCCACCCTCCCACCAGCTAACATGGAAGTGCACAGACCCCTGTAGAAAGACTACGTTCCTCTTGGAAAGGGCCTTATTGCACTTCCTTGTTAGTTGGTGGGAGGGTCATTGTGGTAACTGCCCTTTGGCTCCCATGTACTGATGATGTTCAGTTTCCCTGGCCATTTGGCTCTGGAATTTTCATGGCAAGCCCATAGCGTTGTAAGTGAGGACTAGGGACTCATTGCCTAAGGACCATCACCCGTCAGAACCGTCCCTTGCCTCCCTTTAACCTGAACTCGCGCCTGATTGAGACCGGTCGCAAAAAGAGTCCAGACTGATTTCCTTCCCAAAGATAGATGTTTTCAAAAGCGGGATGGTTTCTATGGGTTGATTCCAACCATTCTCTTCAATCGCTTTCCTCCATTTGCTTAAGCCCCGTGTAGAAACACAATAACTCCAGTGGGGATAGATTCCCTAAACAAAAAAACAGGAAACATGTTCCTAACCAAATGGACGTTTCTGAAACCACCATGACCCCAGAGGTCCCATCTTTTTCAGGACTGGCCACCGCTTTTTCTGAGCTGGGGACTGCTGAAAGGTGCTGTCCAGGGTCTCCGAGTCGTCGAGGAAGCACTCCTAAGCGGCTCAAAACCGAGCGAAATCGGTCTGTATAGGCCTTGCCATGCCCTGTAGGAACAAAGCAAAACCCTCCGGTTCGCGAAGGCCATTTTCAAATGGGGAAGGCCCCCTGTCCGCTTTGATGTACTGAAATGACGAACTGGAGTTCTGGGTGCTGGTCGGCTGGGTCCATGGAAGGAACATTGAAGCATCGTCCCAAACGATTGGTTTCACACCCCTTGAAAACGCTCCACGACATGGATTCCCTGTGGAAGACCCAGTCCAAGACACGGAAGAAACAAAGAGTTGCTCGTGTAAGTTACATAAGCACACCGAAGAAACTGACAATTTTACCACAGCCGAGTGCCCAAAACGATACCTGTCAACCTGAAAGTACGCAAATTCGGAAGCAAGGGAATAAAGAAACTAACGCACAAGCAGACAATAAGCCATCTCCGAGCAAACCTCCATCTTAAGCTAAATTTGCCTTCGAACGATGTGAGCTGGTTAGCCCAGACTGCACCTCATATCCGTAAAGGCCAGAGCTTCTGGTCGAATACCTTCGATGACCAGGACCGCATCCGCCGCCCTGGCCTCCTGGCAAGCAGGAGCGACTCACGGACTAAGAGTCACCACCAGGCTGGTGCCACGGGATCCCACGCTTTGCTGGGTGTGTTGTGGTAAAATACTGTGGATGGACGAAATCCTGCACCACCTACGAAACTCTGGAATGATGAGTCCCCTGTAAATACCACCAAACAATGGTTTCCAATGGCTTCAAAGTGGTGCAGGATTTCGTCCATCCACAGTAGCAAAACCCTGTTCGTTTGCCCGTCACCAAAAATAAGCCAGCTCCCATGATGGTGGTGGCTGATCCCAAATTTCAGCCATGGGATCCACCCCCCCCCCTCTCCTCTCCTAACTTCCTGACAAAGCCCCCCTTGTTTCCTCCATAGTGAGATAAACCACCTACCAATTGGTGTTGGAATTTGTCCATCCAAACGCATGTTCAGAAACATCCCACTGTGGCCCTTCAACCTGATCACCCTTTCCTCTGGAACTAAAACTCCCCCAACGGCAAAAAGGACTTCAGCCCTTTTTGGGGACACTGGAGAGGTGACTAGGGGAGGTGGAATCCTACGGGAGTGCCCCACGCCCCACGCATCTACCCTTTCCCCCTGACCCCCTGATCCCCACAGCTTACCCCAGTGCCCCCCTTCCTTCAGGAGAACGTATGGCTGGCTCCCAGAACTCTGGCGCTCAAGTTCCAGACGTCAAAATCCTGGATTCTCCTTAACTTTGGGAAGGCCATGTGTCAAACGAATTGCCCCCCCCCCCAAAAAAAAAAGCTTCCCCGCCAAACCGCCCAAAACGAGCATTCTCCAATTGCTAAAGGAACGCACACGCGAGCAAGAAACACGACGCCCAGATATCTCATGTGGATAGCTTGAGGGTTCCAAACCCCGGGCAGGCGGCTGCCTCGAAAGTGGTTTCCAAGGACCCGCCGTTGGAACGCGCGGTTTTCAGCTCGGAGTTGACCTGCCACGGCCACCGCTGACGGCTCAGTCTAACCCGTTTGGGTTTGCATCGTCTTTTGAAATTGAAGATGTTCAGGTCAGGACTGAGGCTCACTTTTACACGGAATGTTAGGCAGGTCATGATTGAAATGTTAGCTCTAAGCCGCTAAGGAATAATTACATTCAGATCGGGCCTTGCCCACCCACCCACATAAGGGAGTCCCGAGCGTCCCTTGAAACCTCGCTCACAGGAAACTCACTGTTCGACTCATGTGATGCTTGACACCTCATCTTTAAGGGCAATTATGGGGAACCACAGGGAAGGTTCCATGTTGGCACACTGGAATCCTTCAATATTGCAAGTGTAAACCACATCCAACTACAAAACCCCTTTGACTGGCAATAAATCACCAGAACGTCCTTCGTTTGCTTACGCGATGTTTACCCTCCTAACATGGAAGTTGTCAAAGCGTATCCTGCAAAGAACATCATGTTCAAGTTACCCTCTTTCCAATCATGGACCGCCCTTTTCAAGAGCGCTCCTAAAGTCTGTCGGCTGTTGCTTCACAATGGTGACATCCAGCCAGGGCGGGGCTTATGGCTTTCCCTTTGGCCTCCCTTTCCCTTCAACCAGCCCCACTTCCGGGCCCAACAAGGACATACCGCCCAAAGGACCCAGAAAGAAAAGGTTGACCGTTTGTGGCAATGACCTAAAGTCATGGGACTTTCAAAAGGGGAAGACCAAAAGGTCGATTCATTCATGTCAATTCGCTTTGGGCAAGTGAGATACACATGGCAGTTCGCCACAAGCGTTCCTCTCGCGCCGCCCGAAGCGCTTCGCCTCAGGGAAGTTCACGACCTTCAATGCCTGGGCTCCCGGGACCGTTTCAGGAGCTTCGGTTGGCGGGTTTTTGAAGGGGAGCGCCCAACAAAAGCGACAGAAAATGCTCGGCAGGGCTCATTTCAATGAATTCCCTGGAATGACCCCAATAAACCATACCTTGTGACAAGTGTCCTTCAAGCGAATCTCCAAACGGTTCATTCCCAACCCCGACTCGGGTCGTTCCCTACCTATCGCACCAGCAAGTCTGAGCCATTCGTTCGAGCATCGATGGTTTATAGCGGTCATCGGTCATTCCATGTCTCATTCCCTGCACAGAAGCAGCAACACCCAGAAGATTCTGTCGATTCTCATTCTCCGCCTATAGAACCAGCAAGGTTGCACCATCTTTCTTTCTGACTCAAACACAAGGTCATTCCCTACCCATCGCACCATGCTTTTCGCGGCTGCTTTTTGCTCCCCTGCTAAAAGTTTTTAACTTTTAGCGGTTTAATACGGAAACCCCCAATAGTTGGCAAGAAAAGTTAAAGTCCCAACATCCATAGGCGGCCTTTTGGAAAAATAGATGGCCCTGGTAAATGGAAGGAACCCCACCTAAACCAGTGCAACCAGATCCATCTATTTTTAATCAAACTCGCCTAAAAAGGACACCTCTGCTAACATCTGGCAAACTGCACCGAAGCAGGGCTGTGGGGAATGACCACTTGTGTGATACCACAAAAAGGGCTTCCCAAAGACTACCTTGTTCACATAAAGGGGGATAAAAGTATCACAGAAGTGGTTGGAGAAACCCCGAGTGATCCCACAACCCTGCACCGAAGTGTTATTTTCTGGTGGCGGCAACACCTCGGTCCAATTCTTTTCGCCGGAGCCGCTCGCC